GCTTTTTGAATGGGAGGGTATTTATGTGCACGCCAAGCGAATAATGTGGAGAAAAATATCGCTTTGTAAGATCTAACTGCTGAGATGTTCTTAAACGCTCCCCATGCCGCTCGTTTCCTCCTGCTCAGCTCTGGAGCTAGATCGTTCATCATATTGATTTCCCGACCTAGGTACACGTAGCTGGAGCATTCGGTGATGTTCGTTCCGTTGAGCGTGAATGGGGCATCAGGAACCAATCCGTTTCTCATAAACATCGTCTTCGTTAGGTTCAGCTGCAGACCAACCTTACCACAGGCGCAGTCGAAATCAGCCAGCATTCGCTCCGCTTGCTCGATGTTCGGCGTTATAAGAACGATGTCGTCAGCAAAACGAAGGTGGTGTAGTTGCCGGCCGTCGACCTTCACTCCCATGTCTTCCCATTCCAGTTGACGCATGACGTTCTCGAGAGCGGCGCTGAAGAGTTTGGGCGAGATGGTGTCGCCCTGTCGAACCCCTCTCTTGACGTCGATGATGACCTCCTTGTAGAAATGGTGAGATTCTGGTCGTAAAGTTGCCTGTAAGAGCTGCCACGATTCGGTTATCGTACTTGATCGGAGATAGAGACGGGGCCGCTTCGATGACCGCTTCTGTCTCCACAGAGTCGAAGGCCTTCTTCAAGTCGATGAACGTGAGACAAAGCGGCATCTTGTACTCTCGTGAAACTTCAATGAGTCTCGTAACCGTGTGGATATGGTCGATCGTGCTGAACCCTCTTCGGAACCCTGCTTGCTCGCATGGCTGTCCTTCATCTAGTATTCTGCCGATCCTGTTAAGGATGACTCGTGTGAATAGCTTGTAGATTACAGACAGCAGGCAGATTGGGCGATAGTTGCCAATGTCGTCCAAGTCTCCCTTCTTGTACAGCAACACGGTCCTGCTGGTTTTCCACGGAGTGGGTACCTTGCATTCCGACAGGTAGCGCGTGAAGAGTCGAGCCAGAGTTTTGATGATAACTGGCGGCGCATTCTTCAGATGTTCCGGTTTGACCCTGTCGAGACCGGGTGCTGTACGATTCTTCACCGACTTGATGGCCGCGGTCTTTGGAAGAGCACGCCAATCACGGGGCCCGCGGGTGGATGTGGAACTCTTCCCCGACTTAATGGCGTGTCGGACTTCGGAAGAGAGAACTGAGGGGACGACGTATCCATCCTGTTGCAGTTGATAAGTAGGCAGATGGACATGGCTATCGAAGAGATCCGAGTAGAAGTCGTGGATGACTTTCTCCATTGCCCTTCGGGATGCAGTAACTGTTCCATCTGGACGTCGGAGGCAGGTCATCTTGGTCTTGTAGCTGGCATAGCTTCGGCGGGCATTGCGGATGCTCCTCCCAGCCTCTGCTGCTTCAGCTAATACTGCTGCTCTTCGCTCCTTGAGATCTTCCTTTATCGCCTCTCTGCATAGCTTCGCAAGCTCGGACGTGAGTCGGTGATTGCCTGCAGCTCGTGCGGCTCCACGCTGGCGTATCAGTTCGAGAGTTTCCGGAGACAGACGTCCCTTGGTGACTTTCAAACTCTCTGCCTTCTTGCCACAATCGTGAAGATGTTCAACGAGCCGATAGTACTCCTCGTCGATGTTTTCGATGACGGAATCCTCCCATAAGCTGACGAGGGAAGCGAAGTGGTCCCAGTTGATGACTGTCCTGGGGCTTCGCTTCCTGAACTTTGCTGCTCTCTCAACACGCATCGAGAAGTGGAATCTTGCGCGGAGGAGACGATGGTCCGATCCCGTGTAGAACTTTGGAACAACAGCGACGTCGGTCAGGCAAAACCTTCGATTGAAGATGATGTGGTCTATCTCGTTATGGAACTGTCCATCAGGTGACTCCCAAGTCCAACGAAGGTGAGAGGGCTTCTGGAACTGCGAGTTACCATGGATGGTGTTGGTCGACATGATAAACTCAGACAGTCTTTCGCCCTGCTCATTCCAATCCATTCCGTGAGTACCGATGTGAAGTTCTTCAGCCGTTCTTCTCGGGCCAATCTTGGCGTTGAAGTCGCCGACGATGACCTTGAAGAAGGTATGATCTTCCTTGTAGAACTTCTCCAATTCCATATAAAATGCTTCGTGTTCCTCCTCGTCGTAGCTCGATGTTGGTGCGTAGGCGACGAAGATTGTCAAAGCAGGAGTTGAACCACATCTTCTCAATCTCAAACGTCCGATTCGGGTCGTAAGGCTTTCGTACGAATCGATGTTTATGGCCAAGTGCGTGTTGACGAGGACACCCACACCGCCAACGCCTCTGCTGTCGCATGTTCCAAGTGGGCTAGGATAGACCTCCAGGTAGTTAGCCACGCTATCCTGGAGCGGAACAAGGGGCTTATTTCTTGGAGGCGGCCCCGAATCGCCTCCCATGTACTTCCCAGTCACTTGAATGCAAGCTTTTGGCTGTGCCGACATGCAGGATACCAACCGCACACACACAGAGCGCACCACACACGCAAGCATGCATGGATGCGCCTGAGTGGAGACAGCTGGTATGAATCAACACAGCACTACAGAAACAGGGAGTCCATCCCCTGAATCCACCTGCGTCTCAGGGCAAGTACATGGTGGCTTTTTGCGAGCGGCGAGTCACCCCCCTATCCGCCAGCTGGGGTCGCGCCACTTAGCCTCGCCGCCGACCGGCTAGAGATCTTTCAGTTAGAGAGGACCTTTAGCGAAAGAGATCCGTGGTCAATCTTATCATATCGATGATAATTTAAGGGAGGGACAGTCGAGAGGACGAAAACGGAACAAAGGAGAAGCCCAGTGTAAGTGTAACGGAGCACTATTCTATCATCACATTTACACGAGAAATGGACTTTTCAGAACAAAGGACGACCGACGGAGGAGCAAAATAGCTGCCTTTGGGCATTTGCGTAAGTTAACCTCACGCTGACGTGTTTTTTTTTTCCTTTTTTTTTATGGCTGGTTTTGGGGGGAAATTAATACGGCGTCGATCCAAGAGAGCACCTGGGCCTACGCGCGTGCGAACCGCGTTGCTCAGAAACTTGCTAGTTTAGTTCCCCTCGACCCCTTTCCAATATCTGCGAGAAGCTATAATAACAAACAATGAGTGAGGGTATGAAATTTTTACCCAGAACTCCATACCGCTCTCAAATGCTTCATGAAGGAACATCCTTGCGTCTTTTCGTTACTGTCTTCACTTCATTCTCGTCTTATTTCGGCTCACGTTTGATTCGCTTGACTCTTAGTCTTCTCTACTACTATTATATTTCTTGCTTTTTACTTCTTTAATTCGTCCCAGATACGCCAGATGCGCAGGTCGTACATCTTCCGAATGGCTCTTCTGGGCCACTGCCGGTCGTACAACTTCATGGGACGTTCAGTCCACCAGGCTGCCTCTGGATCTTCTTTTTCCCCTTACGATTAGTACCACTCAGCACTCTCTTCGTCTGGCGATCATTGGCTAATCTAGCCTCATGACTGGCTCACCTCTGGATTCCTAGATGGTTTTCCGATGAGCTCAACCATCGTACGAGTGCGGATGGTTTTATTGGGTATGTGATCACGTAGCAAACAGCCGCACATGGCCCTCTTCATGACTCATTGTGTGACTGCGAATTTCTCTTCCTCTTTCCTCTTCCTTTCTTTTTCTCTGTGGTACTCTCTGTCTGCGCTCCGTATCTCATTGCGGGGGAGAAGAACATATAAGTTGAAGACGTGATGGGTCTATTCTAGTTCGGTGGGGCATCACGATGCAGTTTTTCCAGAAAGCTACGGTAACTCCGAGCCAGGGGAGTGTAGGCAGTCTAGGAGGTTTGGGGGTAAGGCGATAAATTGACATGCGTGAAAGCTGGAATGTTCGAGTTTGTCATAGTTTGCGAGAAACTGCATCGTGATGCCGCCACCGAACGCTATGTACCGTTTTGCCACCCCGTTAGTCAGGACGTCTCGAATCGCCAGATATCTCCTCAGAATCATTGTGATTCCGCTAACATTGGTTCGTATTTTGTCGCTTATAGTTTTTTGCCGACAATTTAAACTCTGTTTGTGTTCAGGTAATCTTTGAAATCGGCGTGGAAGGTCTCATCGGAGAATACGCCACGCTCAAACCTTATCTTGCCAGCACTTATTCAAGAGAGATTTTCGATCAGAACCCGACCAAGAATCGGTACACAAGGTGAGGCGAATATTTTTTGGAAGAGACAGTGAATATTCTCAGACTGTATTGTAAATTATGCTCCCACCTTGAAATACACAAAAATGCTTTTATACTGTCACATTCCAAACACCAAGAAAAGGAAAGCATGTCTAAAAATCTAACTATTGTCGTCCCTATTAATGGTAAGTACGATTGGCTTCAAGCGAGCCACAATGTTCTCGCAACACCAGTTGGTAACATCTTCTGCGCCTGCATGGACTGTTTTTGTTCGACTGTATTTGCGTTCCGGAAAAGAGCGATGAAAAACATGTTCTTCTCGGGAATCGTCGTCTCATCATCCATGACTTCTCGAACATCCCGGTACCTCTATAGCATATTGTCTCTTCTCGTATGTGCTTCGCCTCCTTCTGTGCTCCATGTGTTTGTTTCTCCTTTCTCATCTCTTCCCTCTCGCTCCTGCCTGATTCCTGTCCTCTGCCCTCCTTTTTGCATTGGTCGATCTCAATCACTATCTGTATCCTGCGCCCCAGTAATCCTGTATATATTTCCGTATCATTTCTGTGATACCATGTTTGTGTTAACCTCATTTCCATCGTCCGATCTTTGTCTGCCACCTTTCTCCGCCTATAACTTACTACCATATCTGCTTTCCTTTTCTCTTTGAATCACTATTCAGATGCATCTGTAAGGTGACTGACCCGGGTGATCATCAAAGATGGTAAAGGCTCCGATTATATTCATGCTAACTACGTGAGAGGGCAGTGCCTCGTCAACACTTTCATCTGCACACAGGTCAGGTGATTTCGTTCATCAGTTTGCCCAGCCTTTCTAAAATGTGCTCAAATAGCCATCGCAATCGCAATGTGCTCATTTCATGGGCCAATCATTGCCCCAAACAAGTGCTGATTTCTGGCGCATGATTCTGTTCGAGCATGTGTCCCATATTATAATGTTGTGCGACACGATTGAGCAGGGCAAAATGAAGTGCGAACAGTATTGGCCCAATGAGCAAGACGAAAAGATGGAAATCGGAGGTACGGACCACTAAAAAGCTGGAGAAATTTTCACCCAACAAGGGATAGGACAGCGGCAACTCGCTTTCATTTCAAACATCGTCTCTCATGACGACTAGAATTCTAATATTCCCGGTCTCCATTACGCATGCACGACCTGATTTCATCTCACTGAATATCTCTCGATGCAAGTCTGTTTCGCATCACTAGTGAAGAATGGGTGTGCGGTGAGGCAGTGGTATCTCCCTGATTGGTATGGAAAGGGAATGATCACAGCAACCCACAACTCCGCATGGTGATATTGTTGGACAGAACAAGGGTTGTAGCGGTGCCATTTGTTTCATCGCATGACATTTCATATGTTTCACGACGCACGAGGACTCAGAAGTGAAGCGTGCTCTGTGGCGTCTTCGGTCTCCAGCTCGCAATACTTGCCCCTCTCACCTGCCCCTACAGACAAACATCACTAGGGCTTCCCTTATGGTTGTACACTAACATAACGAGTTATAAACAAGAGTTTGAACTAATTATGAAAGTATCGGCGTTCGATGGTTAATTAATTATGATCTTTCTCGCGTCCGCTGGCAGTTTACAGTGTTGCCTGACGTTTAGGTTTAAGAGTGGCTTCCTGAGACGACTGAACCCAGCTCACGATTTCAGTTTGCTCGCCGAGCTGGTGAAGGTCTCTTCCTCTCAGTATCGTTGACAGAACTTTAATGAAATGAACAAAACACACAAAAGGAAGCGAAGCTGAAGTTCTTCCCAGATGTGCGGTTTTTCAGACTTTGTTTTGACGACGGTAAAAGTGACCAGTAACGACGCCCACGTGGTAAGGTCAACCATAGAAATAGTGACTGCTGGGGGGCAGCGGCACAAAGTGAAGCACCATCGATGGAGAAAACGGTGCTAGGTAAGCGCATTCTTTCCCTTGGGAAATGAGTCAGTTAGCGCAGTGATTGTATAGATTCGTAGACGAGCATAACTGGAATGGGCGCGTAATAATTATGTGGTGCACTCACTGGCAATAAAAAACACTGCAAAAAACGTAACCGAGACCGCGCGGAAAGGGGCATTTTGGATCATGGCTTTATTTTTTGGGCTTTTTTGGATGAGGCAATTTAGCACTTAGATCGGACCAATTCAAGGTAAAAAGTGTGGCCGCTTATATCACTGCACGACGCCAGGCACGCGCGTGTCACGTCGAGGAGCCTACAAACTCAATCGTCGGTCAGTGGTGTTGACAAAATATCGGGATCGCACAGACAGTTGGAAGGAGTCGCGCCGGGCCAACCAAGGCCTTCTAATCCTTCGCGAGCGTCGCCTCTCATTAAAAAAGCGAGAAAAGTGTCGGGTGCAGACCATACACCACAAGTGACGACGGCCTCCAAGTAAATCTGGTTAGTAGTAGTGATAGCTGATTTTTGGTAAATGATAGTTGTAATTAGTGACAACTGATAGAATACAACTGCAACAGGCTAATCATTTCATTGGCAGAAAACATTTACATTTTGTGGAGGCCGTCGTCACTTGTGGTGCATGGTCTGCACCGACGCTTTTTGAGAGTTCGATACATGTAAACGGGATTGACTGGGACCCGAAGTGAGTGGGCAAAGCGATGGCATTTGACCTCAACGAACTAAACTTCTCGCTGACAAGACCATTCTCAAAGCCTCGTGTGAGAGTCAGTCAGCAACAGTGCTCAGCAAGATTGGTGTTAACCACGCGACTGTGGATTGAATTCAATTGGATTGCATTGGATTGGATTGAATTGAATTGGATTGAAAAACAAATGCAAAATGAAACGCTAAGTAGAATGGAAGAAAATTGTGGGCATGAAACCACACATAAAGTTTAGAGATACTCACGTTCCTGAGTTTTCAAATTTCCGACAAATTTCTTCACCCGTTGTCTGAAGGATCCGGCTTAAACAGTAATTATTAGTTCCAATACAAGTGAATATAGGGAATAGTGAGCGCAGTCTACAGGCGACCGATGCGCTCTTCACTGTGCACACCAAATATTGACTGATCGCAATGGGGAACGAATAACTGTGGCATTATATTTTCACCCGAAGTGTCAGTCCTTGCTGACCTACCCAACTGATCAACAGTTGTGGACAGGCTAAAAAGGTCCTCTGAAGTACTTTCTCACAATGATCAGAAGGTGACTGTACGGATGCCGAAAAGCACAAAAAATGTGCTCGCGGGCGACGAAGAAATTCCATGAAACTACTGGGCCAGAGGGACAGAACCCTATTTCGGAGAAGAATATGGTCGCAGTGTGTGGCAAGAGACCAGACAACTATACGCGTAGCTACAATCTCTAACCACCATCCATTGTATTATGTGCACTGTGAGAGCTTGTCTTCCCTTGGCTCTTCTATTTTTGCGTATTTCGTATCATTTCTAACCGTAATAGAGCTCTAAAGAGAGTGTTCCATTCTTGAGGTATGAGCACATAACCTCAAACCTTCTTATTCCATTCCTTCAAGATGGCAGGGACGAGAAGACATTGATGGACAAGTTGTATTCTGAGTGGCCGTCCATATGAGCAGCATGGATTTCGCCTTCGGCAAAAGCTGAGCCATACCTTTTATAGCTCCTGGGTCAATACGGTGCGTTACGCCTGGCAGAAGTTTTGTAAAGTGCTGGACCGTTCACTCCATGACAAATGATCAGTTCTTTGTGGAACTAGTCAGAACAACCCGAAAGTTGTTCTGCAGCAGAGCATTATAGAAAACTGCTTTTCCATAAGAGGAAATCATAGCTCACATTTTCTTTCTCTTCGTCTCTGAGAACTTCCAGAGCTTCCTTATTTTTTGATTCCTGCAGAAAGGCTGAGCTCAGACTTTTTCCAGAAATAGACCAGAGAAAGTAAAGTGACGAATTCTACTCAAAAAAGCAAATCTGGACACTTACAATCGAAAGCGCCTCGCCAGACTTCTTCTCCTTCTAAATGTGTGAAAAATTAGCAAAACATTAAGAAATTCAGCAGAACGTGAAGGATTCATGGAAACTTCAAAGCACCTTTCGTCTTTCTGATGTATCGCCTTTATCTTTGTCTTTCTGTTTCCTCTTCCGCTCTGAAGTTTCACCTTTATCCTTCTCTTTGTCGTCCTTCTGTTTTCTACGCCGTTCCGAAGCATCTGAGCCCTTCTCAGTGTCATCCTTCTTCTTTCTTCGTCTCTCCGAAGCGTCTGCGCCCTTTCTCGGTTCCTCCTTTTCTTCTTTCGTTTCTCGATCCTCCGCTGCATCTTCCTGGTCTTTTTGCTTCTTTTTTCTCTCTGAACACTCCGATACTCTCTTTTCCTTTTTCTGCCGCTGCAAACTATGTGTTATTCATAATTTTGATGGACATATACTAAGCAGTGGAATGAATGTAACAGAAAGTGAGCTGAACTGAAACTTGTTAGACCTCAGGACTGATGCCAGGCTTCCCTTTCCCTCATTCCTCCCACGTTTTCGCTCTCTATAACCATTGCATTCATATTTTTGTGGTATGAGAGAAGCTGCT